ACCTGACTATAGGTCTGGAAGGAGAAAGAACACATCTGTCTTGTTTGTTGTTTCTTATTGCCTCACACAATGCCTAGAACATAGTAGATGCTCAAAAAGATTCATTGAATAAATGGATAATAATAGAATTACCTGGTCTAAATAGCAGATGTATTTTTAAAATACTGAATAAGCCCAATATTTCCATGCAAGGAAATAAAACATTGTTTACTTTTATTATGAAACTCTAAATTTGGATGAAAAGAAATTTCACTTTCTTTTTGTTGAAGAAACTGTCATTTCAGAAAATGCCATTAGAGTTGAATTGCCAAAACATTCTTAAAAGTTGAGTATCTCTACTGAAAATTCTAATGTGGAAAAAAAAATTAACTTTTAAAAGCCTGAATCTTTTAAATCTGGATTCCATCCTTAATAATGGTTTGATAGAAAAGATAATCTTATGAAAGTAGATACAATGACTATATTTCAATAGAGTTTGAGACAAATAATTTAGAAATTTTCTAACATTTTTCATAGGACCGTTCACATGCTCTGGATGGAGCTACTTGTTTCTCTGTACTTGTAATAACTACAGATTTGCAAGATAAAGAGCTTTCCTCACTTTTGCTTGTGACTTAAATGCCAATGAACATATCTGTATGGATATCTTAACAATAGAGAAAAAAGAAAGAAAACTCCTCTCTAAAAAATTACAGTAAAGCTAAAGAGTTATTAAGCAGCTAAACTTAAAACACACACACACACACACACACACGCAGTCCCTACCAAAATACCACCAGCATTTTTCACAGAGCTAGAACAAACAATTCTAAAATTTGTATGGAACCAGAAGAGACCCTGAATAGGCAAAAGTTATGTTGAAAAAGAAAATCAAAGCTGGAGGCACCACAATTCTGGACTTCAAGCTCTATTACAAAGCTGTAATCCTCAAGACAGCATGGTACTGACACAAAAACAGACACACAAAAAAACAGACACAAAATCTTGAAAGAAAAAAAAAATACCCACAATTGTATAAATTGCACAGATAAAATTAACATTACTACAAAACTAAATAACTATTGTTTATTTTGTTAGAATTCTTTGGTCCTAGGGTTCTTTGGTTTTAATGGAAACAAACGTGAAGTACTTTAAGCAACTTTAAGCAACAGAATAGAGAACCCAGAAATGAACCCTCAACTCTATGGTCAACTAGTCTTTGACAAAACAGGAACGAATATCCAATATAATAAAGAAGACAGTCTCTTCAACAAATGGTGTTGGAAAAATTGGACAGCTACACACAGAAGAATGAAACTGGACCACTTTCTTACACCATACACAAAATAAATTCAAAATGGATGAAAGACCTAAATGTGAATCCATCAAAATCCTAGAGAAGAACAAAGGCAGCAACCTCTTTGACCTCAGCCATAGCAAATTTTTACTGGACATGTCTCCGGAGGCAAGGGAAATAAAAGCAAAAATGAACTACTGGGACTTCATCAAGATAAAAACTTCTGCACAGCAAAGGAAACAATCAACAAAACTAAAAGGGAACCTACAGAATGGGAGAAGGTATTTGCAAATGACATAATGGATAAAGGGCTAGTATCTAAATCTATAAAGAACTTATCAAACTCAACAAAAACAAAAAAGCCAATCAAGAAATAGGCAGAAGACATGAACAGATATTTCCCCAAAGAAGACATACAAATAGTTGACAGACACATGAAAAAATGCTCAATATCACTCATCATCAGGGAAATACAAATGAAAACCACAAACACCTCACACCAGACAGAATGACTAAAAATAACAACTCAGGAAACAACAGATGTTGGTGAGGATATGGAGAAAGGGGAACCCTCTTACACTATTGGTGGGAATGCAAGCTGGTGCAGCGACTCTGGAAAACAGTATGGAGGTTCCTCAAAAAGTTAAAAATAGAGCTACCCTACAACCCAGCAATTGCACTACTGGGTATTTACCCCAAAGATACAAACATAGTGATTCAAAGGGGGCACATGTACCCCAATGTTTACAGCAGCAATGTCCACAATAGCCGAACTATGGAAAGAGCCCAGATGTCCATCAACTGATGAATGGATAGAGAAGGTATGGTATATGTGTACAACGGAAAATTACTCAGCCATCAAAAAGAATGAAATGTTGCCATTTGCAACAATGTGAATGGAACTAGAGGGTATCATGCTAAGCGAAATAAGTCAGTCAAAGACAAATACCATTTGATTTCACTCATACATGGAATTTAAGAAACAAAACCGATGAACATAGGGGAAGGGAAGGAAAAATAAAATAAGATGAAATCAGAGAGGAAGGCAAACCTCTAAGAGACTCTTAACTATAAGAAACAAACTGAGGGTTGCTGGAGGGGAGGTGGGTGGGGGGATGGGGTAACTGGGTGATGGGCATTAAGGAGGGCACTAGATGTAATGAGCACTGGGTGTTATATGCAACTGATGAATCACTAAATTCTACCCCTGAAACTAATACTACACTATATGTGAACCAAGTTGAATTTAAATAAAATCTTGAAAGAAAAAAAATACCCACAATTGTATAAATTGCACAGATAAAATTAACATTACTACAAAACTAAATAACTATTGTTTATTTTGTTAGAACTCTTTGGTCCTAGGGTTCTTTGGTTTTAATGGAAACAAACGTGAAGTACTTTAAGCAAACCCACACAAACAATAAAACCACCTCAACAGCAACAAAACCAAAAGAAATTTACTCTAAGGATTCTGGATCTCAGGGGCCCACAGACAGGAGTGCAGTCCTGCTTCAAGAAGCATTGAGAACAAGAACCAGGAAAGGCACAAAAATGCTATTTTGTCTTCTGCTATTTTGTCTTACCTTTCTTGGGAAAAAAATGTCATGCTATTTTGCCTTCTGCTTTTTAGCACATCTGCTTCATTCTTCTCTTCTGCTACACAAACTAGTTTTCTCAGCTTTTGAATTGACATGGTAATTTATCGCTTCCCTTGGGCTCCTGAGTTCATTCCAATTCTAGCCACAAGCAGGGACTCATTGTCTTAGTTTCAAGTGCAAAATCTTGGGAGAATCTGATTGGCTCACCTTGGATCAGGAATTTATACCTGGAATTTATACCTACCCAGGAATTTGTAACAAATGTATTGCAATCTTGTTTTGAGAATAAACAGATGTAAGCTGTAGAAAATGTAATTTATATCAACATAGGATGAAATATTTATCACTAATTAAATAAAAAGATAATGTGCAGTACCATTCAGTCAACAAATATTTATTATCTATTGTGTATGAGGTGCTATTATAGGTGTTGTGAAGATGGCAGTGAATAAAACATGAGATATCTTCTCCCGTGAAGCTTACATTTTACTTTAATTTAACGTAGAACTGCCTTCAGCAAGGCAAGCTCTAAAGATATTTAAATAATTAAATGTTTTTTTTCCAGAATAGAATTATTGAGTTATAGCTTTAGAAAGAAAAGAAAAATTCCTAGATCAGGGATTCCTAGATTATGAGATTTCAAATAAAATTTTTAGGGCAACCCCTTCGAGTCCCCCCCCTCCTTGGGAGCTTTGTACTATCACTTTGCTATCCCTCAATAAACCTCGCTTCAAAAAAAATTTTTTAGATAAAATAAAAAATTTAGGAGGATTCGTGGCTTTTACTTTTTAGTTTGCCAAATAAGAATGCAAAAACAAATACACACTATCATATAACATCATCGTTTCATAGAAGGAAAGAGATTTTAGTATCTTAACATGGAAAGAGAAAGACAATGTCAGAATAAAGGAACATTTTTTCCCGAAGAAACAACATCTGGCTACTCTTCACAGACTGTTCTTACTCTTCTCATTTGGCAGCTGACTAGGGAAAACTTTTCACAGGTTCATAGACTTGCATTTCGTAACCATTGTTCCAGACTACAGAGTCGAATACTGAGTCAGCAAAAAAAACGAAACTTGTTTGCCTATTTTATCTGAATTTACGGGTCGCTTAATCCATGCAAAGTCACAATTCGGTGGGGGAAAAAACCAATCAGAATTATTGCCTGGAAAGACGACATTTTAAAAAGAATTGAACTAACTTATTGATTCAAACAAAATGACTGATGTAACAGTTCAATGTAAGCTGTTTCTGTTTTCCCAGAATACTAAAGGCCTTCCAACATTAAACGGTGATGACAGACTATATGCAACAAACAAATTAGTCTGTTTAATACTCAAAGCACAGAAGCATTTTATAAAATCATCAGTTTGGATAATATACTGGCTGACAGGCAACCAAAGCAGCTATTCAGTTTCAGGAATTTAATTTCCACAAGATCTATAACCTCTATAAAAGGACCTTTGGCTTGCTTGTGCAGCAAAATAACTTTCAAGTGTTTAACTCCGCCCTTTAATTACCTGAATAGGTAGACTGTCAAAGTTATAAATACATTTGTTGTCTATTACTATCTTGCCTCATGTTAAAATGACAAGTGTCCTCCCTTCTATCCATATTCAGCCACCATTTTTACAGTGGAAGATCTTTTTGAAATTTTAAGTCAAGCTATTAACATATTCTGCTCTGGACCTTATGTTTGTTACCTCTAACCCTAATCATATTACTGCAAATCTGTCTCTTGGCTCAGGTGTCTGGAGGCTGATCAGGCACAATTTGAATCTTCTGTGATGGGAACTGGAGTTCAATTTCACCAATGAAACACTGTTGGAATCAGAACTTAAATCAATGCTGAGCAGCCAGAATATAAGAATTTAGAGTAATGAGAACAGAATGGGAGTGAGATGTTACTAACTTTTCCTATTAACCGGAAGAAAATGTTACAGAGGATGCTCTTGGCCTAGATCATCTTTCCAGTTTCCAAAAGTGGGTCCTGGCTGGGCAGATCTCAAATCCAAACAAAGAAAACCAGAGAAAATAAGGCAGATGTGTATGACATAGAAATTCTTGGTGGGCTTGGGATCTTCTGCTTCAACTTGGAGCTTAATTCTTTTTTTTTTTTTTTTCTGTGCTTTCTTTATTCAGACAGTGAAACTGTGTTATAGTCAGCTAAATTCTTAGTTGTGCTTAGAATGTGCTCCCTCCTCCAATTTACTCTGGAAAAATGAAGATTCTTATTCTTTCTTAGAATCCTGGACCCTGAAATGGGCAGTTAGGACGATTCCATATACATGCAGGGTGATGCCCAGTTTGAGGCTCTGAGTAGCTAGTCATATAAGTTGACTTTTCTGTGCATTTGTATCGAGGAGGATCCAGCTCAGGTTGATGTCCTGGAAACCAGTGAGGCTCTCTCTTAAACCTATGAGTTGAAAGTGGCATTTTGTTGTTATAGCTCATATCATATGATGTTTCAAAGTAGTGTCCAAACTGGGAAGGCAAGGGTTTGGGCTGCACGATATTCCTTAGGTCATATCTTTCCTGGTTCCAGTTTCCCATCAGGGTACAGTTTGAATAGGCATTCTCATTAGTGGTACATCTCCATCCATACTGGAAAAACTTGGACATATCATTCCAATCTGTCCACACTTCAGCATGGCCATCTGCATTAATGAGGCTGCCATAGTGTGGATTAGCTAGGAAATAGGCAAGGTGCTGTCTCTGGAGAAATCCCGCGCAGCAGAGACAATGGACAGCAGCCATTTCGGACGAGAGGAAGGCTACGTTGTGTCCAACTTGGAGCTTAATTCTTAAGTGCAATTTTGACAGGATGGTGTGGACAAAAAGGCACTCTCATATTTGCTGGTAAGAGTACAAATTAGCACAGATTCTATAAAGAGCAATTTAGAATTAGCTAAATTACAAATGCACACATTTGGATCTAGCACTTCCAATCCTGTTTCATTCTCCAGATGTGACCAATTTCCAGAGCTTTTCACTGTGGCATTGAATATTATAGTAAGATGGGAAATAACCTTAATATCAATTTTTATGGGGCTGGTTTAATAAATTATGGTACATTCCAACAATGCATCGGTATGCAGCTGGGTGGAAGGAAAGCCAACACTTTATGTACGGACACAAACCAAACTCCAATTTATGTTAAACTAAAAACATAATTTACACATGTGTAAAAAAGGTAATTCATAAAGATACACTTATTTCTTTTATGTTCACAGAATATCTCAGGGGGATCCTGAGAATTTTAACTGCTGCTGAACTGGAAAGCTTCTGGTGATGGGTGGGCTCTTTTCACTATACAAATGCCCTTTGTAACCTTTTGAATTTTGAGACATGAAAACGAATTCACATATATTTGCACACGTGAAGGAAAAGGCCTCAAGTCTGTTGATACGACCGGCAAGGCTGTGAGTTCAACCTCACAAGCCGGTACCCTGATTGGGCCTTGCCAGTTAAGACTGTTACCTCTGTGACGCAAGGCTGAAATGTGTCACAACCACCCCCACTCGTGCAAGCCGATTTTCCTTCTGTTTCTGAAATTAGCTGTTTCAGAACTGCTCGCAAACTTGGCTTTCTTTCCAAAACGCTAAAACACTTTCCTTTCGGCATAACAGAGAAAGGGGCTAAAACACCAGGCCAGGTAACAATTTATCTATAAATGAAATTCAATGCTTTTGAAAGTGCTTTGTAGCTACAAAACAAAGCTGTAGAAATACGAAGTGTGACTCAATAGAGTTAGTAGTAATTACCATATCACAACTCAACTTACAGTTTGGGAAAGACTATCCACCCTGGGACCCTGCTTTGCCTCATCAAACCTGGTTTCTCTTTTTGGCTCCACCCCCCCACCTTCTCCTCCGCCCCCCCTTCCCTCTCTTCCCCCTCCTCCTCTCTTCGCCGGTCCCAGAGCTTGGCCGGAGGTTTCCTCGCTTGACTGACTACTCTGCGTAAGTGCGGAAGACGCACTGCGGTACCGTCGGCCGTAGGACGACCGAGCTTACTCTGTCCTCTCGTCTCTATGATCCTCTTTGTGACCTGTGGGATAGCGCCAGAGTCCTAGAGTTCCGTGCCAACAGTCCTCCACGCCGACAGAGGACAGCGCAAAAAGTTGACGTTCTCGCGAGAGGTGCGGAGATCTCTCCACGTATTGAGGGTGCAAGCGCATGCGCGCTCGGTGGTGCGCGGTAGACGGAGGGAAGACGGGACCCGGCTGGAGCCCCGGAGTGCGCGCGTGCGCCGTCGCGAGCTTGCCGCTGCCGGGGCCGCCGTGTGAGAGCGGGTGTGAGACCGCTGTGCGAGCCGCGGGAATGTTCCGAAAGGCCCGGCGAGTGAACGTGCGCAAACGGAATGACTCGGAGGAGGAGGAGCGAGAGCGCGATGAGGAGCAAGAGCCGCCACCGTTGCTGCCGCCGCCGGGCACCGGCGAAGAACCGGGCTCTGGCGGCTGCGGCGACAGGGCCCCTGGGGGGGAGTCGCTGCAGGGCCCGGGGCCGCCGCCACCTTCCGCGCTGACCCCGGGCTCCGGGGCTGAGGCCGGGAGCTGCTTCCCCGGCGGCGCGGAGCCGGGCAATGGGCTGAAGCCGCGCAAGAGGCCGCGAGAGAACAAAGAGGTGGCCCGGGCCAGCCTGCTCAGCTTCCAGGACGAGGAGGAAGGTAACCGCCCCGCCGGACCCCAGACCCCAGCATCCCTTACCCTGGGACCCCACTTTTAGTCCTCGCATTCCCTGGACGCCCAGCCCCCGCAGCCCAGAACGGAGCCCCTTCGCGCCCGACTTGCTGCACATCTTTCCCCGCCTCCGGCCTTCTGCTCCCGGCGGAGGACGCGTTCCCGCGCAGCCACCAGCCTTTTCTTAACAACCGCCTCCTCCTCACCGTCCTCCTGTGCGTTTCCTGCTCTGTGGGGCAGAAGCTCAGATCCGTCATTCTGAGTTTATCAAGTGGAAATTCAGTGTCCCCTGTCCTGCTTTTTTCCTGGCGGGTGTGTTTCAGGGTGAACTTGAGTTGGGTCCCCTGTCTGCTTTTTGGCACGGTCTCTGAGCCCTCTGCAGGTCAGTGTGCCCACGCCTATTGGGGGATCTGTCCAGACATCCTTGACCAGGAAGGCTGGGTTTGTAAAGAGGAATCCTAAATCTGGGAACAGAATCCCCGGAGTTGAAGCTCTGGTTATGAGTGACCTTGGACCAGTCCCTTGCAAACGTCGAGCTTCGGTTTCTCCATGAATATAAGTAGGGGTACAGATGTACGGCTTTCCTCGCATTGATTTTTGGACCATGAGGGGAGACGGTGTAATAGTAATTGAAGGCATTTTATCCAAACGGGTGTGAGAGGCTAAGCTGCAGTGGATTTAGATTTCTGATCATATATGAGCCTTAAATCTAACTTCCCGACCAGTTGCGTGTGTGTTTATGTAACCCAATTAAGTGCATGTTATTAAAAAAAGAAAGACTTTTGGATATCTCACTTGCATCTTGATGCAAGATGCTGTCATCCTTCCAGCAAGGTGGGCATTTTCTTTTTGGCCTTTCTGTTATTTACTATTTTGTTTGAGAGGACCACAGCCAGATTTTCTTTTCTTTCTTTCTTTCTTTCTTTTTTCATGATGATGCAGAAACTATTTGATAAAGTGTTTGTATCTGACTGTAAAATTTTCAAATCAGACAGTGACTACAGACCAAAACTTATTTTTGAAAAGTGCTTTGCTTTCAGCTTAGTCTTGAAATAATATACGTCAGTTTGTGACGGTTATAGATTTACTCAGACCTGACAGCTCTCTTATCCAACGTCTTTTGACTTTGGATTTTTTTTCTGATAATAAAGTAATTAAGTGCTTTTTCAGTGATTTTGTTTTCTTCCTGAGGAAAACAATAGGACATATGAAAATTTTGTGTAGTCGCAGGTGTTATGCCTTTTAAAAAGTCTCAAATTTGCATTATGTGAGGTTAATTTATGAAGTTGACAGCTTTTGAGAGTCTATGACAGATTTGGAATAACTTCAAATTTTGTAATGCTTTGGGGTGTATGAGTATCCATTTGGATGAATGTGAAAAGCACATAAGACCATGTGAAAGTTAGAAGGGAAAATACTGTCTGAAATGGTTGCTACAGCTTCATTTAATTTCTTAGAAAATGAAGAAGTTTTCAAAGTGAAGAAATCAAGTTACAGCAAAAAGATAGTAAAATTACTTAAGAAAGAATATAAAGAAGATCTTGAAAAATCGAAGATTAAAACAGAACTCAACTCATCAGCAGACAGTAAGTACCAAACTAATAGGATTCTTTTGAAACAACAAAATGAAAGCTCTTTCTCACAACTATTGATTGGATTTGCTGTATATATCATGAACTTGTTCAGTTGATTCTGTTGTTGTCAAAGGTCCAAATTGAATATTGATACAGTTCTGTTATTTAATTCTAACACAGTTGCACAGTAAATGCATTTTTTTTTAATTTGTCAGAGAGAGAGAGGGTGAGTACAAACGGGGAGCAGCAGCAGAGGGAGAAGCAGGCTCCCCGCTGAGTGGGGAATCAGATGCGAGACTCGATCCCAGGATCCTGGGATCATGACCTGATCCAAAGGCAGACGCTTAACCGACTGAGCCACCCAGGCATCCCAGGAAATGCATTTTTAAAAAAGACAGAATCCTTGCCACTGGAATGTTTCTGCTGTAGCACCTGAATCCTCCCCTAATTTTCTTGCTAGTGTTCAGACTGCTGTTAACCAGAGAAAGGAAGTTTCCCACTTAAGCCTGAGACACAGGTTTATTCCTCTTTGAGATAGTACTGTGTAAATTCCTGTGCTTGTATTTTATAGAGACAGGTGTTCCATTTCTTTGGTGGTATTTCCACAGCTGGTTTAATTCTTGCAGAACTTTAGGAACACCCTTGTTTTAATGTTTGTTGATAATACTTTCTCATTCAGCAGCCCTATCAGATACATGGATGAAGACACCTCAGTGTGAGGCCCCTGCCTACATTGTACAGACATTTCTCAACACCCTTTCACAACTGAAGCGTAACAATTTTAAGAAGTTATTTGTCTTGGAGGAAAGTGGATCCATTATAATATGCTGTGGTCTGAATTCTCATGCAAATGCTGAATCTTTTTATTCCATGGAATTAAGGATAGAATTATTATTTCACGGGTTCTCAGCCACAGGCTTAATGTGAAAAAGTATGTCATTATATCTCAAATTTACAGTCTAGTTTTGGAGACAGCATCACAAATGTATACTTGGACCCAGTGTTTGGCCAAATGTCCAATGAGTGGTTTAAAGGGGAACGGCATTTTTTTTAGAGGCAGGAGAAGGAATGCTTCAAAGATAAAGTGGAATATGAAACTGGATTTTTGATAATTTAAATTCCAAAAGATGGGAGAGGGAAGATACGGATGTATAATCAAAGATTAAAGTGACTAAGGCAAGAGCAAATACATCTGTCTGGTCAAAGTGGATGATTTATAGAGGAAGTAGAGGTTTAGGGTGAAAGGTCCATCGTTGACAGATGGTGAAGGATGTTTAGTATCCATTAAAGGGGTTTAGAGTTGCTGTGTTGGATGGCTTGCCAAGATGGTGACATGATAAATGCCTTTTGAAACCTTAACCTGGTATTAACATGCAGAATGGATTGGCACAAGGAGAGATTGGAGGCCTAAAACAGTTTAAAATCAAGGGCCAGCTTTGATCCATTAATAGTGAGTTTGAAAAGGTCTTAGTTGAGTGAGACTGGGGCTTTTCCTGACTCAGTGGGAAATAGTGGATGAGTTAA